TAAAAGTTCACTTTCACTCGTGGCTCCTCCTCCTCTTCCATCGCATTTGCAATGAACAATGTATTCTTATCTATAAATTGTTAATCCTTCATATCCATGTCATGCACACAATTGCTCTCCATTTTTGTTAATTATGTGCAATGAAAATATGCAACGTGATTGTACCTCTAAACTTGGTTGTGTGGCATGTTCGTTTTTAAGAAGTTCTATATTGTTTTGCTGCTTTCTGTGTAAAGTCAGCTGTTTTCAAACTTGGAGCTCCTTTGTCAGAAGGATAATGCCAAAAAGCAAAGGAAGCAAAAGAGAGAGGCAGCGTCTCAAAATCATGCTGGCATATTGATCTGTAATAATAGTCCTAATATTTAAAAAAAAAAAAAGTAAAATGCCCAACAAGCATAGCTGTCAACTTTTCCCTTTTCTTACGAGGAATCCTATTCGGAATAAGGGAATTTCCCTTTTAAAAAGGGACACATTGACAGCTATGCCAACAAGTTGCAGTTTATGGCTTGCTTTCTCCGAGGCAGAATAAAAGTGTTCTTCCGTCAAGGCAACGCGTCTGCGAAAAGCATTTGTCAGTAGCGTTTTGAGGTTTTGCCGTCCCTTTCCTCTTGCTTGGTGCCTCCTTCATGTCTCCTTTCCCCCCAAGCACATTGCTCAAATAGCAAGGCTTGTTAATTTTCTTTCTGTGACTTACACGTCACCCCTTAATCTTTTCAAACCCAAGTTCATGCACTGGGTGTGGAGGTGTGTGAGAGAGTCCCCATCCATGAGTCTTCAGATGTTTTGGGAATTCTGCTCTCCGGCTTTGATCTTGCCCTGAGCCTAGGCGTGGGTTCTCCTAACAGAATTACTGTATAGTAGCTTGTAGTATGTGCAGAATGTATCCCTAGAACCTAAGGTCTTGAACAGATTGGATGCAGTCTAAGGACATGTTCACAGGATTATTTGTTTTGGGGGTCGGGTGCAATGCAGGCAATTCGTCTCGCCAGCACAGACCACCTGGCTGTTGCATTATTCCACTCAAATACAGAGGAACTGGTAGAGTCTGCATATCCTCACTTATTGCCACTAAGGGGAAAATCCTAGGAAGAAGTCACAAGTTATTCCTAGGGTGCTTATAGTTGTGACCTACACAGCACCACAAGGGAAACAGGTGGCGCTGTGGGTTAAACCACAGAGCCTAGGACTTGCCGATCAGAAGGTCGGCGGTTCGAATCCCCGTGGCGGGGTGAGCTTCCGTTGCTCGGTCCCTGCTCCTGCCCACCTAGCAGTTCGAAAGCACAAAGTGCAAGTAGATAAATAGGTACCGCTCCGGCGGGAAGGTAAATGGCGTTTCCGTGCGCTGCTCTGGTTTGCCAGAAGCGGCTTAGTCATGCTAGCCACATGACCTGGAAGCTGCACGCCGGCTCCCTCGGCCAATAAAGCGAGATGAGCACCGCAACCCCAGAGTCGGTCACGACTGGACCTAATGGTCAGGGGTCCCTTTACCTTTACTTACACAGCACCAAGAAAGGACTAAAAGCAGTGGGGCAACTTGTTGAACAGTGGCATGTATAATGGAAAAATAATAATTCTGTGTTCTTTTGGGAGTGTTTGCAGGTGTGCCCTGAATTGCTTTGCATCAGATAATTTAAACATGGGATTTCAGAGCGACCGTTAGAAAAGCCCTGCTGGCTCAGGCCCAAACACCCACGTAGTCAAACATTTCATTTTCACAGTGGCCAACTAGATGCCCATGGGGATCCTGCAACAACAATTTTCTCTGCGCTTGTGATTCCCAGCAACTTGCATTCAGAGGCATGTTGACAGCGAAGACACACAACTCCATGGCAGAGTGATGGAAATGTTTTCAGTTTAGTTCTCAGCAGTGCAGCTGCTGATCTTTCTCTCTCTGCAAGAGAAGTACAGCTTAATGCTGAGCTTCCTAAGTTATTCTTTGAGAACAGTTAACAAACATGCTTTGAATGGAATGGAGCAATAGCCAATCCTAGCCCATTTAGTATTGAGCATAAGAAAGAGAAAGCGAGATGTTTGCAAGCACACATACCTTAATTTTTTAAGTGTGCACTTAAGTGTTGGCATAGCCGCCATTTCTGTAAGTGGTGAGTTCTGTTCCCCTCTGCTGACTTTCTTTCCCTTTCCCATATGGTTTATCATCGAGTCTTTACGTTACAATTGTCCAGGAACATAGAATGCTCCCAATGTCATTTTATTCTGCCTTGCTTGTTGTTATGAGCATTGACAGCCAACTTCTTATGTTCAGATTACGCTCTTGATCATTCGAGTCTGCAGGCAAGTTGCGTGCAAAATGAGAAAATGGGAGGTGATGTGACAGGCAGTTCGCCGTCAAACTCCCATGCTGAATTTCATTTTCTTTGTCTTTACTCCCCTTTTAAAAAACACACACACACACAAAAAAAAACCCCAGAATAAAATTGGTGACAGTTTCTTGGTCTTGTTTAAAAGAGAGCTGACAAGAAAGGTACATTCTGATATTTGCTCATTCTTGCATGCCAAAGCAGAACCAGTTGGGCAAGTTGGAGTGGGTGGGAGTTGAATCTAGCTGCTTGTTAAGGTGGAACCAGAGCAGCAGTTACCCAGAAGCGCATTTGAGAGAAACATAATCAAGTGATTTGTTTTCCTCATTCTCTTTGTAATTTCGTGTACTTCCTTGTGAAACTTAACTTAGCCCTATACAGCGATTATTCAAAATGGAGCACATTGATGCTCATTCAAGCATTTATCTTGTGCACTTAGTAAAGCCTTCTGCCTGCGGTTTTATTTCATATGTACCAATTGTGAATTGATTCTCCAAATCTGGATCTTTACGTAGTAAAAAATGACAACAAACAAAGGTGCAAGGTTAACTGGTTATCAGGCCCAAAGCCAGCAGGGGAACCAGACTCTGAGCTTCCTTCTTAAAGGAAGGCAAGTCTCTAGCCTTCCTACAAAAAAGTTAGGAAGCAAAATGTTAAGTATCCATCTAAGTAACTTCATTAAGATGAGCTAACTTGACTGCTCCCACCACTCAAGTCTTTTTAGACAATGAGTGACATCAGAGCTGTGATTGAATGTGAGTTGTTTGGACAAATGGGGTCTGTCCTGAAGATCAGTTGTTTTCCTTCCTCCTTCTCTTTAGTTAAAAGTCCAGTTAAAAGATGGAGCTTTCTGGAACTGTGTCTTCTTCTTCTGATGTTTGTGGACTCTTTAGTGCAACTGGATATCTATATTAATGTTTTCCCATTGTGTGATCATCCGTCCTCCTCTCACCCCGGGGACCTTGGAGGGGGATGATTGTGCTGATGTCCTTTTAGATTTAGGGTGTGGTTAAAATGCCCTAAAGAGGCTGAAAAATTCCTCCTTGCTACAAGGAAGAATCGTGAGAATCACTGCTATCTTTCCTTTTTTCATGCCTGTGAGACAAATGGAGTGAAACTGGCTTAGGAGAAACTCACTAGCTGTAGCATATATATGTTATGAAATGATATATAAGGTATGATATACATCATAGGCAGGAAAAATATAGACATTTGTACTTGACTGGAATTTCATCAGAAACCTGAAGAGCTTCCTCGTAGGAAATAAACAGAAACCATGATGCTGCCATGTTTCTTAAAAAAAACCCCAAAACTCACACATTAAGAGTCCTTGCTTTTCTGTACTTGCTTAATACAAATTTCCCATTCTCCATAGTATTGCACCTCTCATTATTTGGAGAATGCGTGTGTTTTGATCTCTGTGTCATTAATTCTCTGCTTCAAAAGCTATAATGAATTGCCCTGTGGCTGATCATCTGGTGGGGTCTGGAGACTATTTTATCTGGCAACTGATGGTGAGAAAAGTAGTGTGTAATCATATATATCTACTCAAAGGTTCCCTGTTAATGGAGCATAGGATTGTATCCTAGTTGTGTTTTTGATTCTGTATTCTTAAAACTGCATATTGAATTTTGCAATACAGGGAAAATGATTATTTTCACTCAGGTTTACTTCTGCAAATAGGAAATAACTACAATGATATTTTTTAAAAGATGCACTAGTAAGATATGTGTAGGGTGCCTTTTAGGGATTAAACTTCATGGCCATGTCATTATTGTATATAATTTTTGAGATGAGCTAAAATGTGTGGCTGAGAGGGTTTTTTTGCATGCTCTCTGTCAAATATCTGTTGAAGGCAAGTCTGGGAAAAGTGAAAGGCATCTAATCTTGCTAATTAAGATTACACTGTAAAAGCACTGCAAAGGGCCAGCGTGGAAAGAACTGTTCTCATAGTATTTTGTACTGCAAAATCTCTGGTATTGCTAACTCCATTAATCTCTGCCCTACCCTTATTTGAGAGGGGAGGAAACCTGTTGAACTTGTAAAAAGAATAAACCAATTTACTGTACTAAATAGCAGGATCATTCCAGAATATACAATTTCCCCAGTTATTATTACACACAAAATTATAATTTATCCTTCAGGTTATGATACTGGTCTGGGGCAGCCCATCCCATTTTGCCGCCCCCCACTGAAGCCTTGCTTACTGGGGTTGCGTGGCAACAGCTTCTGATGAAATCTCATTGAACTCTCGCGAGATCTTGCCAGAACCCACTACTGCTTCTCCAGTGGTGGGTGGGGCATCAGCAGGGGTCCCGCCCCGTGAGATTCCACTGCCCAGGGGGACTTCCTAAGTCTACTTCCTGGTCTGACCATGATACTGGTAATATAATATAACATGGAAATTGAGGTGTCTTCTCTTGTTGCTGTAGATCATCAACGAGGGATGTTTCATTGTTGACAATTAGGCTTTAATATAAACAATCAGCTTACCTCCGACATAACCAGATACAATTTATGACACAATATATGGGTTGAAGGCACATTATAGATAAGTCACATGAGTTAATATAATTTAATTATCATCATCATCGTCTTCCTTTTGGTTCAGAATCCATAGGGGAACAGCTGGCTCATTTTTTATATATATTCTCTTCTCTTCCCTTTCCCACCTGATTTTAGACATATGAAAATCCACGAGAAGGATCCAAATGGCACTACTACAAGTACAGCACCTGCCTCCCCACTGAAACGCAGGCGGTTGTCCACAAAACGAAAACACAGCCTAGAAACCGAGGCAGACAAAGAGGAGCGAATTCCAGCCAAAAAGGTTTTTCTAGAATGTTTTCTGCAAAATTTCACCATACGTTGAAAGCGCACCCAACACACATTTGCAGCACGTGACTTCACCCAAGGAATCCTGGGAGATGCAATTTCCTCCTCACATAGCTACAGTTCTCAGGATTATTTGGGGGACGTCATGTGCTTTAAATGTTTATGGGATGTGCTTTAAAAGTAGGGCATGGCTCTGCCCGAAGTTAGATTCTCCCCCTCCCCCTTTCCCTTTATATCTTTCCATTTATTCCAGGGATGGGGGAACCTGCAGCCTCCTAGATGTTTTTGGACTCCAACTCCCATCAGCCTCAGCCAGTATGGCCAGTGGTCAAGGATGATGGGAGTTGTATTCGGACAAAAATATGGGGGACTGCAGGTTCCCCCATCCTTGATTTATGCGTGGGGTTGGGGTTTTTTTTTGAAGAAGAAGAGGATGATCAGCTTAAAATTAGACATTAGAAATTCTCTTCATCACATGGCAATGGAAGAGAGGAGGTGGGGACATTATAATAGGCTTGTGGTTGCCAAAAAGTTCAAAAATGTATGTGTGTATGTGTGTGTGTTTTGTACACATTCATTTTTATGAAGTGACATGTGCTATGATGTCACCTGTAAAGAAGTAGGATGCTTTTGAAGGTGGTTTGAAAGTCATACACGCCCTACATCTCTATATGCATCAGACCTGCCCACTCAGTCCCTGAGCAGGATCTTTCTTTTGCTGAGCAGGGAAGGTCCGGTGAGGGCTTTCATTTGTGTTTGCCTGAATGGGAGTTGACCCCTCCATGCATCTGGGGGCGTTGCTTTGTCGGGGACTACAACCGAGTGGAGAGTTTGATTCGTGTTCAAGCAAATGCAAGTCAGAGCCTGCCCCCCTCCATGAACCTCCCCTATGGACCTCCCTTGCTCAGTGCAGGACGATCAGGGCCAACGCACCCAAGATTGGATGTGTCCCAAGGTTTTGCGGGCGGGACTTGGTTGCGTGCCTCTGTCCTGTCATGGCTTTTAACCAGGGCACATTCAGGCAAGTTTATGAGCACAGCCTTCTGCGTTGCTTCAGCCTGGTGCCGTTTTAATGCAGTACAACGCTGGGCAAGTGGGAATGAACCTGACAGATGGCTGCTACTGTGCAGACAGACACAAAGGAAATCCAAAGGTCCGAATGATCATCTCCATTTCTGCAGTGGCTGACCTGAAAAGAGGATGTCACAAAAACAGCTTGAGCGAAGCAAACCTCATTGAATACAGCATTTTTATGTCTGCTGTTCTTATAAGGCTCTGTTGATTAAAAATACTATTGTTTTTCTCCGAATCCCTCAAATTTCATGGCTGGCAACGACCCCCTTCTCGGAAAGCTGTTTTCTTTGATGTAGAAACATAACAAGGCACCCTCCTCCCCTTATGCGTTCATATTCTGTGTGGTGGGGAGTATTTAGTCTTGGGCAAAACAAAGGGAAGGTTCAAAGCAACCCAAAGAGGCTGGAATCACGCTCCATGTGAATTTGTGCGCTCATTCAGGTTTTTGCGTGAGAGAATTCTCCCTTCTCTACCAAACAGGCCGTGGAGGAACTGCAAAGTGGTGAAGCTGAGAAGAAGGCCGAGGATGAAGTTTATCGTTGTCCAGTGTGTTTCAAGGAATTTTCGTGCAAGTATGGGCTGGAAAGCCACATGGAGGCGCATCCAGACACCTCACTGAGGTAACAAAAGAGCACGGGAGATGTGGCTTGTTGTGGAAGATGGCTGTTTGATGCAAATGTATGTTCCAACACATTTTAAGCCCTCCTGAATTCAGTGGGACTGAGTAAATGAGGTTATTTGAATTTGAATCTGACTTGAGATTACGTTTTTGTTAAAACTATTTAAATGTTCTTCCAGTTGTTGTAAGTTTTTGACCAAGTGGCAAAAGCTTTGGGGGTTGGCATGGTGCTGATAGGATTTTTGTGTTGGCAAGTCGTGATGAACCATTGTAGGGGAAAGGCTATGGTTTCGTAGTTGAGCCATCTGCGTTGAATGCCAAAGGTCCCAAGTTCAGTTCCCGGCAGGGCTGGAGGACACCCTCATCCTGTATCCACGGAGAGCTGCTGCTGCTGCCCGTAGTCTGGGTAGACAGTACTGAGCTTTGACAGACCAAATGGCCTGATTCAGTACAAGACAACTTCCCACGTTCTATGTAATCTGCTTCTTGCAGATGAGATACCAGAGTCCAGATGCACTCCATATGTTAAAAGCACATGTGAAGAGACTGCATAGCTAAGCTCCCCCATCAGTGTGCCTGATGGTTGCGCATTTGGCAGCGTGGGAAGAGGCCCTGCGTGCATTTTAATGTATGAGCATATAATGCCTCCATGTGGTTGCTGTTGAAGGGGAATCCTTGGCAAACTGAACAAGATTCACCTTTCTCATGGAGAAGCTCAGCATGCATTGATGGATGTAGCTGAGTTCCTAAGGTACTCCTTTTATCAGGGAACTATTCATGTTGAGCATGTTAAAATCCAGGATTTGGGGGCTAGAGCCAAGTGCGCAGGACTTTTACTAGGAAAGGTAGCACATGTTGGGTTTTGCTTAAAACAAAAATCCAGTTGAATTGTATTAGTTTATTAATTGGGCGAGTGTTTCTTTGGCCCCTGGCATTTGTGCTGTGAGGTTCCACAGGGTTCTGTTCTTTCCCCAGTGCTGCTTAATATCTATGTGAAGCCATTGGGAACAGTCATTAGATGTTTTGGAGTGAGGTGTCACCTGTATGCCAATGACACGCAGCTCTGTTTCTCTGTAACATCAGAAGAGGCTGTGAAAGCTTTGAACCTGTGTCTGGATTCAACGTTGGTGGACTGGATGAAACTGTCTTTGAATCCTGGGAAGACAGAGGCTCTTTGGTTGGGTGGCTCCCTTGTTCAGGAAATTGGCAAGTTACCTGTTCTGGATGGGGTTGCACTCCCTCTGAAGGAGCAAGTGCATAGCTTGGGGTTTTTCCTGGGTGCGTCCTTGTGACTAGAGGCCCTAGTGTCATCTGTGGCCAGGAGTGCCTTTTACCAGTTGATTTGCCAACTGCGGCCATTCCTCAACAGGGATAGCTTGACTGCTGTAGTCCACACATTGGTAACCTCACGGCTATATTACTGTAGTGCTCTCTGTGTGGGGCTGCCCTTAGTCTGGTTTGGAAGCTCAATCTGTTGCAGAACTGCACTGGTTGCCCATCTACTGCCAAGCCAGGTTCAAGGTTATTGCATTGACTTGCAACGCCCTGAACAACTTAGGTCCAGGCTATCTCAGGGACCACCTGAACCCTTCCATCCCAGCTTGATCACCGAGATCATCTTCAGGAACATCTCTGATTGTTCCCCAAGTTGGCGAGGCTCATTTGATGGCAATGACAAACCAAGCTTTTCATGTCATTGGCCCGGTCCAGTGGAACACCCTGCCACTAGAGATTATGGGGGTGCCTTCTGTGTCAACTATTAAACTTTTCTATTCTGCCAGGTCTATGCAGGCCATTAAGGGTGCATCCACCACAATGGTCTACTGAAGCTTTTAATTCTTTTGCTTTTAACTTGTTTTCAACTTGTTATAAATTTGCTACATGGTTTTATATTGTTGTGAACCGCTGTGATATATTTTAAAGATAAAGCGGTATATAAACAAACAAACAAGATTTGTTACACTGCCTAGTAACTAATGTTCTCAGTAAACAGTACAATTTAAGAACCTTTTTTTTAAAAAAAACAAACAAACAAGAAAAACCTTCATCACCATAGAATGCTGCCACTCCTTGCTTCTCATTAACTTTTTTTCTGTGTAAGATTTGGGTGACCTGGCTTGGATTGGTACAATGAGTGGGCATGAACTAGTGACAGGCCTGCCCCCCCACCCCCGTTCTGGTATTACCAAATGAGCAACGTTCATCCCAGGGCAAAATAAAACCAAGAACAAAAAATACCTTGGATTTTGGTATCGCCTTGGTGAGTGAGCCCTATTATCTTCTGAAATACAAAAGTCTGGAGGACTAAGCCCCTCCTTTGTTTACCCACCGAAGGAAAAACACATCCTTAATCCATTGATTAGGTAAGAGAGACTCTTCCCCGCCTCTATCCCCCCCCCCTTTTAGGGCAGTCTCTTTTGATGATGTAAAGCCTTTACATTATGCATCTTTGCCAGATAATTATGGTAAGGACAAGTCTCCTGGGGGAGTGGGAATAATGGGACCTTTTGTTATGTTAGACAACTGGCTGGAGCAGTGAGGCCTCTTGCCATGGAATTAACTCTTCCCATTGAGCCTCTCCTCCTAGTGAACTGTCCTAAGTTACACCCTAATTAGCTGCATTAGCTAGACAGAGCAAGGCCATCTCAGGGTTGTCTCCTGTGAGGGACCATTATTATCTCTGGCTGGTGTTGGAGGCACAACACTATCCTTTTCATCCTCGCTCCCCTCCTGCTAGGGCTATTTAAAGGCAACAGTTTTCTCTGCAGCCTGCCCCACCAGAGAGGCTCCAGCTATTTCGGTGCGTTTACATAGGAATGACCGATATAATTAGCAGAGCAGGGAAATGCCACACAGCCAATAGGGCAAACAAGAAGCCGCCTCGGCCTTCTTCTCTCAGAGCCTTTTTCCTTGTGTGCCGCTTTCTATTCCTGCCAAGGCTATAAAATCTTCTCTTAAATTGCTCATCGGCTTCAGAGACTCAAAACACGGTTTTCTGAAAGCTGCAGGGCCGATACACTTTAAAGTTGTGTTGCCTTCTTATCCTGCCTTTTTCTCCAAAGGTTCTCTGCTCTGTATCACTGCTCCACTACTCAATTTACCACAGTTCTCTCGCATGGTTTTCAGCTAAGGCTGAGCAGTGTCTGGTTTTCAACATCATGATATAACCCCAGCTAAACAGCGCTATATACCAATAGATCAAAATGTCTGAAATAAGGATGGAACTATGTACAGTGGTACCTCGGTTTAAGAACAGTCCGGTTTAAGAATGATTTGGTTTAAAAATCTCCACAAAACCAGAAATAGTGTCTTGGTTTGAGAACTTTACCTCGGTGTAAGAACGGAATCCGAATGGCGGAAGGGCCCCGGCGGGAGGCCTCATTAGAGAAAGTGCGCCTCAGTTTAAGAACGGTTTTGGTTTAAGAACGGACTTCCGGAATGGCTTAAGTTCGTAAACCGAGGTACTACTGTAGAGACAAACAAGATAACGTCTTGGCAACTGCTACTACTTAGAGGTCTAAAACCTGTATGTTTTTACTTGCCTTTAACACGTTACAACAGAGCAACGGGTGGCAGGAATCACGAGAGAGGCGATGACTGGCTTCGTGATTTCCCCCCACATCATGATTTTTTGCATAGCACACATACACAGCGTGATTTGCGATATATTGCCATGTCGGATACAGTGGTGCCTCGGGTTACATACGCTTCAGGTTACAGACTCCGCTATCTCTGCTTCAGGTTAAGAACAGTTTCAGGTTAAGAACGGACCTCCAGAACGAATTAAGTACTTAACCCGAAGTACCACTGTATTGGGAAACAGTTATCGCAGTGTGGACTTCACACCGATAATGGGTGATGTATTGATACCTTGCCCAGCCCTAGTTTAGGCTGAGAACCAGGCGTCTCTAGTTAGGGCCGGGAAGGACGTCTGCAGAGGTGCTCAGCCAAGGAGGTCTGAACTGCTTGCTTGCAGGGGGCTTGTGCCCTTCCACCACACCATCTGTTTTGATCTGCCTCCATCCCCCACCCTTTCTCTGGCCTTTCTCTGATTTCCTACCTCCTGTATGAAATTAGGCTGAGGATTGTCAGTCCCGTCTGAAACACTCGTTCCATTAGCGCAAGAACTTCCCCTCTCCTCCTATGTTCCGTCTCCAATTTTGCTCCTAGTGTTGTGGGAACCCCAGAACAGATTTAAGGGGGTGCATGGGAGGAGGCTATTGGAGGGGAAGTTGCGTTTTCCAAGCAGAAATCCTTGTGCTGATGGAATGTGTTGCTTAGCACTATATTGGATACAGGCCTAAATGTTTAGTAATGGTGCTAGTCCCTTTTTTATTTTTTCAGGCAAAAGGGTGGTAATAGCTATAAGTTGTTGGTCCAGCTACACACACACACGGGCAGGGGAAGCTTTTTAACTTTGGCTTCTTCCTTGGACATCACAGCGGCTCTTGAGAGTTGCCCCTGTGCCTTTGCTCTGCTCACCGGCAACTGCGGAGCAGCTGTTTGAGGATGCTGTTTCTCCTCCTCAGAGCCCATGTGTGGAGAGACAGAGGAGGGTTTTGTCCCGAAAGGAGAGCAATGTGGCAAGCTGGCTGGTGTTAACAGGGACGTTAACCAGTGCACATTTTGACAAGGGTGAACAATGAAATCCTTTCAACAAGGAATAAGTCTCTTGCTTTAAAGTGCTAACTGGTGTTCCTTCTTTTCAAAGCTGCTATATAACTATGTTAAAGAACAGCATTCCTCTCTCCAGGAAACTCCTGGAAGCGAGTTTGATTCAATTTTGTTTTCCAAACAAAGTAGCATTTTTGTAGATTTAAGAAAATGATTTCTGTTAACGACCAGTGTGTGCTATTTCAGTGTAAACGATTAAGCCTCGCATTGGGTCAGTGCAGCTTGGGTTAATTTTTTGTTTTATTACAGTGGCTAACATCTACATGATTTTTTTTAAAAGGCAGTATAGGCCTAGGCACTAACATTGGGCACATTACAAAGTTTGGTGTTTCTGGATTCCTGCTGGCTTTTACATGAGCGAAGTTAACTATGTGCTTAAACACCCATTGAAAATAAGCAGAACCTAAAAGGCTTGATGTAAAATGGAACAGAGTTTTGTCTTTGAAAATGCATTCACGTATGGATAATCAGAGTGCCTTTGAGCATGTACAGAATGCCTTTCTTTCACTGCTAAGAACCTGCAAGCAAAGAATGCACAGTAACACAAAAAAGGGATATAAATGCAACCCACCCACCTTTTTCTAACATTAGCTCAAAGTGGTATATATGGTTCTCAATGCTCACAGCAACCCTGTGAGGTAGGTAGGTCACCCAGAGTGTTGTGTGGCCAAGTGGGACTGCCTTGCAAGCATAGCATCTTCTGTCATTTGTCACTCTGCTTAACTCCTTCTGTCTCCTTCAGTCTCTGTGTTACGTAACTACAACCCTTCCTTATTTGACTTGACAGTCTGTGTGGGGTATTCTTGTTAGACTGCAAGCTTCTCCCTCCCCTTCTTTTTTTGACATCATCACGCACAAAGTATTTCCATATGTTTCTAAAGTTTTTCAGTTTGAGGTGTCCAGCTCCTTGCTTTTAAATAATGCTCACTCGGAAGCCATTAAACAGAAGAAGAAAAGGGTGCTGTTTTTTCAATCTACTTTCTTCAGCACCTACAAATGGTTTGCTCTTATTGTGTACTTTTCTCCTATAGTAGTAGTAGCAGCAGCAGAAATTAGGCCCAAAAATGTGAAAAGGAGTCTCACTATATTTAAGCAATTTTGTTTATTTTTCTTACCCTTTATTACAGTTAGTACTAAAGCGTTGAGAGGCCACACGAGTGCTTATTGTTAAGCTGATTTAAGTGTATTCTGGTGCTCAGCTTGGCAATGCCAGTCCAAGAAACTGGCTTCCTGAAGCAGAGGCCAAATGGTACCTTTGCCCCTTGCAGAGTTACTATGCCCCTTGCAAGCTGTTGTCTATGGTGCCGCCCGGTTGCTACCTATCCATCTTGAAAAATAAAGGCAGGACTCTTCCTTTTACTGATGTACGGTAGTTGCTGGGGAGCAGCAAAACAACTCGCCAGCTGCCTCTGTGTTTGCTCCTTTTACACCACAAATAATGGCGTCCATGGTGGTAGGAGGCTAGTCCATTAACAAGCAAATGTTGTGGACTAGTAACTTTTGACATTTGCAAGACCACGCTGGGATGAGATTAGGTCTGCTACTCCTTGACGCAGGTGGCGCTGTGGTCTAAACCACAGAGCCTAGGGCTTGCCGATCAGAAGGTTGGCAGTTCGAATCCCCGCAACGGGGTGAGCTACCGTTGCTCGGTCCCTGCTCCTGCCAACCAAGCAGTTCGAAAGCCCGTCAAAGTCTGGCGGGAAGGTAAACGGCATTTCCATGTGCTACTCTGGTTTGCCAGAAGTGGCTTAGTCATGCTGGTCACATGACCTAGAAGCTGTACGCCGTCTCTCTCGGCCAGTAAAGCGAGATGAGCCGCTGCAACCCCAGAGTCGTCTGCGACTGGACCTAACGGTCAGGGGTCCCTTTACCTTTACCTTTACCTTTACTCCTTGAGCTGCTTGAGATTTGCTCCAAAAAGTCCTTGTTGTCCTGGTATACTGCCTCCCTGCAGTACCAGTGAATTATTGAGGTCAGTAGCAGGGGAAAACATAAGAGCTTGTTAATATTTCCCTCAGCCCTTGCCATCTTCCATGGACTCAAGTGGTTTGCTAAATAATAGTATCACTGCAGCGTGCGAATTGCAAGCGTTTTTGAGAAGCCCAAGTGGGGTTTGCAAATCCTGGGAGACCTTGAGAGTTGAGAGAGTGCACTTACAATGACCCTCATTGTCTTTCTGGAGAGATTTAGAAACAAGGTGCCAGAGAGTAGGTGGGAGGTCTTGGGAAGAGTGGTGTGTTGAAATCAAGTGTCTGGCTGATACAGGCTGTTTCAAATGTTTCTGGGTGACTACTTTCCCCTGCTGGCTTTTGCTTCAGTTTTCCATCTGCAGTCATGACAACAGGTGTTGAGTGTTACTTCAAATGCTTTCTGGCCTTGCGGTGATTCTGTACTCACATTATATGAAGCAATTCCAAGATACCTTCTCTCTCTGTGAAGCGTTGCCTATAAATTTTCCCCAGGGCTCTGAATTTGCAGTGGTCTGTGTTGCAGTGAATGCTGTTTCAGTAATAGTAATAGTAGCAGCAGCAGCAACAACAACAAAACAAACAACAACTACGTCAGCCTGTCAGCAACGCCTGTAAAAGAAAAAAAGTGGAAAGTGAGGTGTTCCAATGGGTTCAGGAAGCTGTTGTCTTGAGAATTGCAGTGATACCAATGTGCTATGAGGATTGGACAAATCACTGAGTTGAAGCAGTTGTAGGAGGCAGCATCTTCTGGAATAAGTATAAAGAAAAGGGAAATTAAAAACAAAACAAAAACAGAACTTGAAAGGCAATTGGAAAGCTTTTTGTGCTTGATAAAACTGCTTCCCTACACCCAGTGGAAGTCGTTCTCTTTGCATTTCGACTTGTGGTGCTCACTTATTCAGGATGACAAGCAAAGATTTATGTTACAAAATAAAAATAAAAATGCTATGCTTAGGAAAAACCCAATTTCCAATGAAACATATCAGAGCACTTGCATTTACATACTGCACCAGAAGAAGAGGACTGGAAGGGGACTCCAAATGATAACATGGAAAGTTATTTAGATAGTAATGATTTTAAAAAATCCATATATTCCAAACGTCTGAGGAATGGCTGGCTTTCTGCCATATTTGTGTTGTGTGACCAAAGAAGACACAATGGGACACAACAATCTCAAGGACCAGGGAGGGTGGGCAAGGATTTGCTGCTGGGACAAGGAACTCCAGGAGCTGGTAGTGGAATGGGGGTGAGGAGGGATTTGAGGTGTCAAAATGCCAATGACCAGTCCTTTGGACATACCTACCCATTGTATGGCCTATCAGGCTGGGTTGTAGCCTATTGTTTATGCATTGCAGTCTAAGTATCTGGCCTTTGTTGAGGATCCAGGAGTCTTACTAAGCTTGTAGATATGGCTGGTGAGCTGCCTGCAGCTTGGGTTATAAGCTGGCTGTGCTGACTTCAACTACAGATTTTCCAGGATGTGCTTCCTTTTGATGCAACTCTGAAAATACTAACTCAAGTATGGTACATCCTTGGGTTGCATTCCCACACTGTCACCATCCCCTCACACTCTTCTCCAATGCCATGGCAGTGGTACGGAGAGCTGGATCTGAGCCTCTGTGTATCGAGCCAAGGGTATATAGCTGGCAGACTTTTCCTTCTTGTAGCCTCAAAGGACTGCTGACCTTCTAAGACTAGAAGAGGGACAAGAGTAAGAAAAACGGGTGCAGTTTGCCCTTAGGCAAGTTGTAAAATATAAACTGTTGGTTTTGGTAATGTACTGGTATTATTTGATAAGTACATAGATGAAAATAGATGGGTGTTCTGTTTTCGTTGGGGTACCGAACATTTAACCAGGTATGTGACAAGGTACTTTAAAATTCTTCATAAGTTCTTTTTCTTCTCCTCCCTCCAGGTGTGACATCTGTTGCCTTTCCTTCCGCACGCATCGGGGTTTGTTGCGGCATAATGCGGTTATTCATAAACAACTTCCAAGGGACCCACTGGGAAAGCCTTTTATTCAGAATAACCCTTCGATTCCTGCAGGCTTCCACGATTTGGGATTCACAGATTTCTCCTGCAGGAAATTTCCTCGCATTTCTCAGGTATCTGCCCCATTTGGCTTTCTTTCTTTCTTTCTTTCTTTCTTTCTTTCTTTCTTTCTTTCTTTCTTTCTTTCTTTCTTTCTCTCTCTCTCTCTCTCTCTCTCTCTCTCTCTCTCTCTCTCTCTCTTTGGGAACAAAGCGCTTTTTGATCTGTGATTTTAAACCTGGGCTGTTTTTATACTGTATCTGTTGTACTGAAAGGTAGTTTTCTGGTCCCCCCCCCTGAATTTATTTTCTTTGGTTGGTTCTGATCCTATTCCGTTGGGGGCGGGGGTTCAAATAGTGTTTTGTTTGTATGCTGCTCAGGGAATATATTTGACGGGTGACTCTATAAATTCAGCAATTAATTGTGTACAAGGAGTATACAAGCTAGCCGCTTCAGGAGAGTAGATGTTTTCTCCTTCGCCTCGGCTGCATGACGTTTATTTGCATTCTCGTGTGGTGTCTCGTAGGTCTGGTGTGAAACAAACCTGCGGCGATGCATCAGTGAATATCACCGGTATGTCTGCGAGGTGTGCAACAAGGCGTTCCCCATGCGCTCAGCACTCAAGCTGCACGCAGAGACCCACGCCGCGGATCAGGAAAGAGAGAAGCACGAACTGCCCTCGGAGGATCTGGACCGGAAAGCTTACATGGCATCCTTGGGGCTGCAGCATACCAAAGACGTTGAACCTGCCCAGCAGGAGGAGCTGGCTTCAGATGAGGCCCAAGAAATGCAGCTCCAAACACTGAAATGTAACCTACCTCAGGAACCTGGTAGTGCTAACCAGTTGAACATGTCTCCTCTGGAGGCTGCTTCTGTGGGAGGGCCCTTCTCTGTCCTCGCCCCCACGAAAGAAAACATGAAGCTCCTGTCACTACAGCCTTTCCAGAAAGGCTTCATCATTCAGCCCGACACTAGCATTGTCGTCAAGCCCATTTCCGGCGAGCTGGCGGACATCCAGCAGATCTTGAAGATGGCTTCCTCTGCGACGCCGCCGATAAGCCTTCCGCCCCTCTCGAAGGCGCCTCCTGTCCCCTTGCAGTCCCTCTTCAAGCACATGCCTCCGCTGAAGCCAAAGCCCTTGGTGGCGCCCAGGACGGTCGTCGCAGCTTCGACGCCTCCTCCGCTGGTCAGCACTCAGCAAGCCTCGCCCGGCTGCATCAGCCCAAGCCTTCCTCCGGCGCCACCCAAGCCGCTCAGAACCTCCGAAGAGTCGACTTTGGCCTCTCACCTTCCTCACGGTAAAGCAGGAAACCAACCCAGCCCTTCTCCCCAGGCCAAGGCAGAGCCTTTGAGCCAGAGCGAGATGAAAACGCAGCTGGAGCAAGACAGCATCATCGAGGCCCTGCTGCCCTTGACGATGGGTGGGAAGATCAAGCAGGAGGTCATGGAGCGGGACTTCAAAGCCATGATTGCCGGGGCAGCAAGCAAGAAGGCCCCCGCCGTGAGGAAAATGACGTTCCCCTGTCACTTGTGCAAGCAGGTGTTCGCATTCTCCGGGGTCCTGAGGGCTCACATCCGCTCCCACCTGGGCATCTCCCCGTACCAGTGCAACATCTGCGACTACATTGCCGCCGACAAGGCGGCGCTGATCCGGCACCTGCGGACGCACAGCGGGGAGCGGCCGTACATCTGCAAGATCTGCCACTACCCTTTCACGGTGAAGGCCAACTGCGAGCGGCACCTGCGGAAGAAGCACCTGAAGACGACGCGGAAGGACATCGAGAAGAACATCGAGTACGTGGCCAGCAACGCGGCGGAGATGGTGGACGCCTTCTGCTCTCCGGACACGGTGTGCAAGTTTTGCGGGGAGGACCTGAAGCACTACCGAGCCCTGCGCATCCACATGCGGACGCACAGCGGCTGCCAGAAGAAGAAGCCGTTTGAGTGCAAGGAGTGCGGCACCGCCTTCTCGGCCAAGCGCAACTGCATCCACCACATCCTCAAGCAGCATTTGCACATCCAGGAGAGGGAGATCGAGAGCTACGTGCTGGCTGTGGACTGCACACCCCCCGAGAGTCAGCCAGGCACCCTGCTTCTCGAAGACAGCGCCTACCTAGACCGCAAGCCTATCGCCCCCTTCCTAGAGTCGCAGAACGGCTTCTTGAGGGGCGCCCCTTCTCATGCATCGATCAAACTCGAAAACGCAAGCAGCTTCCCTATGGAATTCGACGAGCCTCTGGACTTCTCGCAAAAGAACAAAGACCTGAACTCTGTGCTGGTGAAGCAGGAGAGCCCGTTTGGGTCTTCTGTTTATGACGGCTCTATGGAGCCCATAGACTTGTCGATCCCCAAAGCTCCAAAGAAGGAAAAGGACGACGGCGCCCCGAGTCAGGATACGAAGGAAGGGCACGAGGAGAATCTCCACAACGGCCAGCAGTCTCCTCCAGCGAACAGTAACCTGGAAAACAAAGCTCCCGGACATTCCCAGCCATTGAAGGGTCCACTGCATTTGACAGTCCCAATCATTTCTCCCTCCCTCCTGGGAAATGCTGCCTTGCTTCGGCCCTTGAGGCCTAAGCCACCACCCCTCTTGCCAAAGCCCCCCGTGGTGAAAGAGCTGCCACCCCTTGCTTCCATTGCGCAGATTATTTCGTCCGTGTCGTCTGCTCCCGCTCTGTTGAAAACGGACGCCGCGGACTCTGTCCCCAAAGCAGCTGCTGGCCCTGAGAAGCTGGGGGCCCCAAAACCGAAAGCAGCTCCTGCGGCTGCTGCCCAGGCGGACCCCATCGTTTCCACTGACTTGACGCCGCATGCATGCAGCCCCAACGGGCCCCAGAAGTCCACCACGTCTGGGTCTGTGAAAAAGAGAGGCCGGAAGAAAGGGGCAAAGAACAAGCTGAAGGCAAGCAGCAGCAGCGTGGACCTGGAGTCGAGCGGGGAGTTCGCCAGCATAGAGAAGATGCTGGCAACCACAGACACCAATAAGTTCAGCACGTTCCTGCAGTCGACGGAGGACTTCAAAGAAGCAGCGGCTGACCCAAACGGAACCAGTGAGGAGGAGAAAGAAACGGCCGAAGACAAACTCCTGCGGGGAAAGAGAAACGCCTACTCAAATTGCTTTCAGAAAATCAACTGTCCTTATTGTCCGAGAGTTTTCCCCTGGGCGAGTTCCTTACAGCGGCACATGCTCACTCACACAGGTAAGAGAGTTTTTGTTGTGAAGTGGCCTTGGGGACCCATGCAATGGATGCTTGCTGTAGAGCACATCCTTATAGATTTGGGATGGGTTGAGGGGTCATTCTGGCCTAAAGGAAATGGCCAGGATGAACCAGGTTTAGTACACAGAGCCTGGAAGGGTTCGGTGGGCTTGTTCAGAATGATGTGAGCTCTTAGTTAACCATCCAGCAGGTCATCTTTGAGATAAACCTACTCAAGTTTTCAAGTGTGTGTTAATACGTTGGTGAATAGGCCAATTGTAATGACTGATGCTAGATGTATTGGATCAGCATGCATGTAATGCTACAGGAATATAAGTTTGCACAACTAAACCATGGTGCTTTGGAAACCAGGAAGGAAGTGATGGGAGTGGAGTTGGAGGGAACATACATGCAAGCTCAGGGATTGTCCCCATTCTGCCAAAAACGACTCAGTGCCATGTGCGAACTGATCCCATGGCGTCTATAAGTGCTGTTTTGGTCGAGGGCTTTCTTCTGCCCTAATGCAAAACTTGAAGGACTTCTGGAACAATGGTTTTGCTTGGGTGTTCAGGGTTTAGAATCCCTAGTTAGAAAACTGATGGGCTGGGAAACATTCCTGGCCAACTGCTTGGAGAATCCCTGCCAGTCTGGGTGGACTCTACTGGGTTAAATGGATCTTTTGGTTTAGGCTACCTGCCACACTAGTTTGAGGAAACTGCTGAAAGGGGATGAGCGGAAGGGGAGAAACAGCAGAGGGAGTGCTGCTCATTCCCCATCCCCCAAGTCCATATCTCTGCTTCAGATCCCCCATAGTAGCTATTCTCCCTTGTGGGATGTTCAGTGCCCTTTTCTCCACATTTATAATCCTGAGGATCAGAGAAATTTCTGGGGGAATGGTGGGATTTGGAAAAGCAAAAGAGCATCCCAATTTTTCACTATGCCTTTACTTCTATCTGCCACCACCAAAAGTGGCTTTTCTTACCTTAAACAAGCTGTTGAGCTACCGTTTAAAAGAGCGTTTGCATGTAACACATAGTTTGGGCCTTACTATAAGCCTAATTCTTAAGTCCTCTAAAATTTTAAGACTGCTGTGAATGTTGTGTTTGGCTGCAGCTCTGGCCCTCCTCTACCAATCCCCAGACACACCATAATAACCAAACAGACCTCCTTTCTTGCAGTGGATGGCCATAGTTGGTGGTTCTGTTTTCATATCTAAGCTCATGGTGTTTAGTTGCGCGGTTCAGAGGCCACAGCTGCTCTCAAAAAAGAAAGAGGCAGAGCAAAGGACAAAATAAACTTGAGCAACTATCACAGTAGCATATTTTTCTCCCACTGGTTTGCTACTGAAAACTCATTGCGCTCATGGTAGACATCTTGAAAGTGAAGTGGTGTTACCGCTGAAGGATTTCAAGCATCCCTGGGGAATTTTTCTTGTTGATGGTTCTCTGGTTCCAAATAAGATATTTGTAGTCTTTCCAGTCTGAAACAGTTGGGAAGTTTTCTCCTTCAAATGTAGCACCCTGCATACTTCCACATTTGTTGCAGGGTGCAACAGTCAACCTCTATAGAGTTTTCCACAGCACAGAGCTTACTTTTCAGAGGCATCCTAGTGAATGAGATACAGGAGCAGTCTTCTGCTCACCTGAAGCACATCTTATCCAGGTTCTTTTGGATACATGACTTGCAAAATGCTGGGACGCTCGGGTGTGCAGATACTGGTGGGCTCCTGCACATGCATTGCTGGGTTACATTTTAGCTTTGCAAGGAAGAAGGGTGATGAGAGCACACTGAAGCTGTATTGACAGAAATGAGGTAAACTTACTGTTCTCTATAGCAGTACACTGTAGTGAGGAATAGGCCTCAAAATGGGTGTGTGTGTGTGTGTGTGTGTGTGTGTGTGTGTGTGGAGATTGCATATTCCAGGTTCATGTAAACGTAGTCCCTGGTTAAATTGTTGAATCCAGGGGTGCTTCTGAAATAACATGTTTGAGGATTGATATGAGCTCCTCTCCCATCACCCATGCTCACACGATTTCCCCGCAGTCTATAAGCATCAGCTAACCAACTGTTAATTTTTATTTATTTATTAGGTTTACATACTGCCCTTCTTCAAAAGAATTTCAGGGCAGTTCACAAGATTAGAAATACATATAAGTAGTTAAAACAAAACCAACCAACCCCCAACGACGGATTTAAAAGGCTGCAGAATATGAATCGGCCAAAGGCCTGGTTAAAGAGGAACATTTTTGTCCGGCGCCTAAAGATATATAATGAAAGCGCCAGACAAATCTCCCTGGGGTGGGAGCATTCTGAAAAACGGGGAGCCTTCAGAAAACTCAGTGCATAGCATACCTATATAGCTTATTCGTTCATTGCCTGTTGCAACTTTAGTATTGACTGTTCTACTTACACATATACAGTATTCAAAGTTAGTTTTCAGATCATTAGCAACAAAATACATAGAGAGTAAAGAACATAATTTTCCCCCAGTCAATTCAGCTCCAGGGTAGTTGTCTCTGCATCCCCCTGCCCCTTTGACATTGTGAACTATCAACAAAGTAAAAATAAATAAAAAAGGAGGCTCTGAGCAGTCCTGAAGAGCCTTAACTCTGCTAGCCCAGAGTCTGAAGCCACTTAGAACACCATTGGAAGTCTCCACTGGCTCTTCCCTGTGCTGTGGTTGAAGCCACCAGCACTAAAATGTTGATGAGTCATTTGCTTGTGCAACAGACTTGGGGTAGATGGGGAAGGAAGCAGATGACAAAATGTGAACTTCTGCTGCATTCCTGAGATGTGACAGAGCCCAAGATCCCCCCACAACTGTGACATTACATTAGCAAGATGCTGTCCATGTTAACAAACGAAAGGCTGAAAAGGGAAGGGAAAAGTCCTTGCTCCTGGTGATTGCTCTTAATGGCACCCTCACTGTCTTTAGTGCAGCCCACTTCTGCATGTATACCTGGATCTGTTGCAGAGCTCGCAGAAGAAGTATTTACTTTGTGACATGGCATATGGAATGTATTTTTGAAGCCTGTGTGTGTGAAAACAGTGGGTGTTAGCTCATCTTGGAAATGAGCAGCGGCTGGAGTACTCTTGGGAAATTTGTCAACAGGCTTTCCTGTTTTGGTGCTGTATTCTTCAGACATCACTGAAACTCATTTCATCATCTCTGATTTGCCACCTCTCTACTCAACGTTTATTCTTACCCTTCTGTTCCTTTGGGTTTAAATAAAATCAGGACTTGGGCAGTGATGAGCCGTTGCTGTATTCCTGTGTGAAATATATAGTTGCTTTTGATTTACACTGGCTTTGGTCAAGTGCCGCAGAGGGCAGAGTTCCCTGCCGCACCGAACTACTCCTTTGCAAAATGGAAAGTTAGCCCATTTTCACTTCAAGTATTTTCTATTGGTTTACATCAGTAATCAGCATCAATCTGTCAAATCTGAAGGAGTCGATTTTTCGCTTTTTGTTGGCAAGAGAAAGTCACTATTTGTGTAGTAAAACAAACAATAAAACAACACCATGTGAACCATCCCAGAGACCTTCGGAATGGTAACCTTAAATTAGCAAGACAGCCAACAAGTCTTCCACTTCCAGGTCTCTGCACGTTGTGGAAATGACTTAGTGTTTTTTTAAAAAAATAAATCACATGATCCTTTCAAGTTCAGATTCAGATTTTAAGTAGTGTGGAAGCCAAGTTTTGTTGGAAGATCAATGTGACAGAAACATCCTTAAAGCCTGCATTGTGCTTTGGAGAGGCAGTGGTAGCACTCACCCTTGGCTTTCCTATAGCAGCTGATTCCTTCTTGTCCTATTCTCTCGCCATTATTTTTTGCATCTTGCTGGTGTGTAGAGATCAGGCCTGTGGCGCCACAGAGGTTGCTGTTGGCACTGTGTTAACGTGCGAAACGGCAGACTCCCTTCCTCCTAACGACATTAAACTTTTTGCATCCGAAAGAGAGCTTGGCTGGGGAGATATCTGAGCTTAGGATATTTTTAATGGAGCAGAGTCATAGTTGTTCATCAGAGTCCACATTGTGTTGAATGGTACAGAATCACGACAGCTGCCCTGACATTTCAACTTGGATTCTAAAGTGTGATGAACTTGTTTGGAACGCCAGATGGCTAAAATGGGCTCTGCAAGGCGATGGCTCCTTGCAGCAGCTGGAACAGCAAGGAAGCTCCCTTATCAATAGTGTCTACCCTGAATGGCGCAGGTTCCTCTGGGTTTTGCATAAACGTTTCTCTCGTCCCACCCGGTGAAGCCAGTGATTGAACCACAAGACTCTTTGAATGCAAAGCATGTGCTCTATCACTCCGCTGCTGCCCTTCCCCCAAACATGACTTGCCATGTGCTTCTCAAACATCTCCCAGAGAGAGAGAGAGAGAGAGAAGGGTGTCTTTGTGTTTTTGCCAGACATTTCTGTGGTGGTTAGATGTATGATGTAGAGCACACGGAGTCCTTTCCAGCCAGCCTCTGTTTGGCATCCATAATGCATTCCCACCCTAATCCCCCTTGCTCTTCCTAAGTTCCCACCTGTTTCAGCTGTTTTCCTCTGGGTCCAGCTCATTTTGTAGCCCTGACGCCCAGTTTTGCATGTTCTCTTGTCAAAAATTCACAATGTGACCACTCTCTCTTGGTGCTGTAACATACTCTACTGGGAAAAACATCCTACAAACTATATACAGTGGTACCTCGGGTTACATACGCTTCAGGTTACAGACTCTGCTAATCCAGAAATATCACCTCAGGTTAAGAACTTTGCTTCAGGATGAGAACAGAAATCGCGCGGTGGCGGCGCAGCGGCAGCAGGAGGCCCCATTAAGCTAAAGTGGTGCTTCAGGTTAAGAACAGTTTCAAGTTAAGAAGGGACCTCCGGAACAAATTAAGTACGTAACCAGAGGTACCACTGTAGAGATATGTCCAAAGCAGATGTGTTTCAACACCAACAAGGGGAGGTCACCCAGTGAAGACATCTCTGCGCGATAAGTGAACTACTGCATAAACCAATCCAAAAGCAGATATTAAAATGCTCCGCAGTCAGCTGGCTATGCAGTTTCTTCTGGATTCATCTGGTTAGCGCAGGATCATGGTGTATGAAGGGCAGGCTGTGTAATACAGTAGTTCACTCTGATACAGTTGAGTTTTCTTAACCACTCTGCTTCTAAATAGTGGCTCTGCTTTTTTAAGCCCAGAAGAGCTTAAACTTGAGTCCTATTGTATTGGACACTTCTCAGGGGGCTTGAATTTCAGAGCCTTGATATTCAACCTTCCTAATTTTATTTTATATGTGAGTTGACTTAGGCCACAGCTGCAGTCTTAAAAGTGCTGTTTGGGAAGTAATTCCCCTTTCTGTTCTGGACTTCCTTCAGAGGAGGACGGAGCTGCTATAAACTCAGCCGCAGTTGAGCAAAGCAAGCAGAGGGTGTAGAAAGGCACGCAGGAGTTCCTGTGACACTTTAGAAAGAAGATAAATGTGTTTTTTCTCCCTGCTCCATTCAGGTCAGAAGCCCTACCCCTGTCAAAAATGTGATGCCTTCTTTTCCACCAAATCTAACTGTGAACGCCACCTCTTACGCAAACACGGAGTTGTCAACTACTGTCTGAGAAGAAACGGGCTTATCCCCCAGTCTAAAGAAAGTGATGCTGGAGCTCATGATAGCACAGGTAGCTCTTTTAGGTTGTTCCAGAATTTAAAACAAAGTCGTGTTTCTTTTTTCCTTCGGGCCCCTCAGATGAATGACTGGCTAGGTGTCACAGCAGCACAGACATGTGTGATTACAATGAGGGGTGCCCTCTTTCAAGAAGATTATATCAAATCAGGCCACTGGTCCACCTAGTCCAGGGTTTCGCAAACTTGGGACTCCAGCTGTTTTTGGACTACAATTCCCATCATTCTTAGCAGGACCAGTGGTCAGGGATGATGGGGGTTGTAGTCCAAAAACAGCTAGAGACCCAAGTTTGTGGAATACTAGCCCAATACTGTCTACACTTGATCAAAGCATTTCAGCTTGCTCCTGTTCGATCACTCTTATCTTCCAGGGTGATTTAATAGCCAGGCCATCTGCCTATCACCAGTCACCACATAATTATCTTCTATCAGTGGAAAGCCAATAGTGAGATGGTCAATCCGCCATTCCTTCTCCCAGAAGTCCCCCAGTATTATCTACACTGACCGGCAATGAGTTTTAGCCTGGGAATCTTTCCCAGCCATGCTGGGAAGCGAACTGTGCAAACTTCAAACCATCAATTTTGCATGCAAAGCAGATGCTACACTGCGCTGCAGTCCTCCTCTGTTGTAAATGCCCTCCAGCTCCGTTAAAGTCCAGTGTTTATAGGTAGAAAAGGCCCTGTGTTAAATCCTGCCCATGCTCCTCCTGACGCAAGCTGCTGTTTTTTTCCAGGTGGGCCACCCAGAGCTGGAGAGAGGTAGTTTCAGAACAAGGAGGGAAGCATTCATTGTCCCCTCATTCTGGACATAGATGGCCCATCCGTGCTTCATACGAGGTCACCAAGGCTCACAATGTGTATTACACAATAGCTGTGCTTCTGTACATCCAGCTTAGCCCTGAGAAGGGAGTGGGTGCTGAGTAAATAATGACCTGATAGCACCCAGGGTAGTTGTTGTTTTCATTGTTTCTAGTTTGATTAAATAGGTTAAGCAACCTACATCTTTTTTTTTACTATCGTTACAGCAAGAGAGCTTTGCCAGCAACACTGCCCTATTATGACCAAGTTCTGCAAATTGTAGTTGTGATGAAGTCTAGTTTGTTAAAATTACATACAATGGACGCTCAGGTCGCGAATGTGATCCGTGCGGGAGGCACGTTCGCAACCCGCAGCACTGCATCTGCGCACGCGCGGGTCACAATTCGGCGCTTCTGTGCATGCACAAAGTGCGATTTAGCCAAAACCCAGAAGTAACCCGTTCCAGTACTTCCAGGTTCGGCGCGGTGTGCAACCCGAAAATGCGCATCCTGAAGCCTCTGTAACCCGAGGTTGACTGTACTGAAAAAGGACACACTTGTGTGCTGAGGAAGTTTTTGATTAGGTTTGACCCAGTTTTGGTTGAACAGCTGGTTGAACCAAAATGAAATTAAATAGCAATTGGATCTCCTGAGTTAGTCTTTGCGGCGGGGAATGTTTTGATCACAAACTATACAGCCACCTTACCAAAGATGCTCCCAGTTTAAAAGTCCAGATTGTGTAGAACTGCATCCCCAAATCATCTCTGATCATTTTTCTCGTTTCTCAGATTTGCCAATCCATTCAGAATTTCACAGTAGTTCGAATTCTAAACTAAATTGGAATTTTCAGTTGTATGTAAATCAGATTGTTCTCATTGATTAAAACCCTCATTTAACAACAGCCGATTGCATTGACGTGCATGGCACCCGCCCCCCCCCCCCGAATCTGAAGACGTAGGACATGTTTCTAGCAATGTGATGAATTTGCAAAAAGACCATGAAACTTCTGATATCCCAAGAACAACAAAAAGTGTTGGTGCTTTGGTTGTGAAGTTTTTAAATTTTGCTTGGGTACCAGCTCAGCAGCTGCTAACACTGCTGTGCAGGTAAGTTCAGAACAGGTAATTTAGTAGCTTGAGGAGGGAAACCAGAGGTTTGGTGTGTGTCCTGGAATTTACCCTTATGGTTGTTTAGTTTAGGGGAAAGTTGTCTTCTCCTCCTGCCACCCCACCCCCCGATAGGTTGGAGTTGCTTCCTATAACAGATGGCTGAATAAAGGACAGCTTGTGACGATGGTGAGGCATTTGTTACAGGTACCTCTTGAAAAATTCAGACATGAAACGAGAAAGGTCTCTTCGGTGAATCCTTCTATCTGTAAGATTCCTAGCTTACCAAAGTGTTCCACCTAGTGGATGCTGTTTGAGATTGGAGTGTGATGATGGGGAGGGGGTGGAGAACCCCAAACCAACCTGGCTGTTCTGAAGAAATTGAAAGTTCCTATAGTGGATCTTCACTATTTTTCCATAGGGCTGTTGCAACTTTAGGGGATCAGTGCACCACAATGCAAGTGCCTTGCGTAACTTCTTTCTCATTGCTATTGCATGCATTATTTGCCTCCCTCAGTACGGTGTGTGTGCATGCATGCATGCATTCATGCATAGAAGCAGGTGTTAACTTTGGCCTTTTCTGGTCCTCCCCGCTGCTGCTGCCCCTGGTACGTGACTGAAAGAATGAAAAACGAGTCCTTCAGAGGACCCAGAACAGTAGCTTATAACTGAAATCCCTGGAAGCTGGCATGCTTGCGTTGCATAACTGTCAGTTATGCAAATGATACAGTCCTTTATCTCTCGCATTCATATGTAGGCATTTCAGTTAGACCTGTTTTGAGGGGTTTTTTATACCTCGGAGGCTCCACCCAGTTAGTCTCTTAGATTTCAAGGTTTTAAGTAGTGACTTCCAGTTTCTGCCCCACCCTGTAAAGAGTTCCTCCTTTAACCATGGCAAGAATGCACTGTTCACACTTTGCTTCCTAGTCAGCAGTTCTTTCACAAAAGCCAGAAGCGTTTTGCCACCCTTAAATAGGCTTACAGGGACAATACATGCAACAGCCGTGTATTTTTTAGTGCAACAATAACGATTTTTATTTTTGGAGTGTGTGCACGCTAAAATAGGTCCTGCTGCTGTTGTTGTCATCCATCTGTCTTGAGAGGCAATGGAGTGCACTTCCAGGGGTAAAGTCAAACTGTTGTGTTAGCCGCACCAAAGTGACCTCCCCGGGACTCAAGCCTGGGCAGTGTGTATGGAAGTCCTGGGCTGCCCAGGCAAGACCTCCCTCTTGGACTTGCTGCTGTGGTCCAAAGGAAAGCAGAGCAATATGTATTGCTAAATAGGTCCTCTCTTTCAAGGAAAGTCAACAAAATGTGCTAAGTGTATACTAAAAGGTGGGCAACTTCCAAGAATAGGGAGTCTAGTTGCAGGTTTATTTTTAAAACTGGTATACCACCTAATTTTCAAGAGAGAAGGCAGCACATAGCTCACCATCCTATTTCATAACCCCAATTAGTTCACGTGGTCAGTAGTTGGTTGCTCCTGAAACTAAGCTTGGAACACACAAAAGATAATCCAACTGGAATAATTCCCACATTCTAGTATCCGAAAGTGATATTAAATACCCACTCAGAACACCATTTTATCCTTGCAACAACCTTGTAGGGTAGGTTATCCCATGGTTCAGGAATGGGAAACTTTTGGTCCTCATGAACTCATGATCTTGTTGGACTACAACAACTTCATAATCCATTGGCTATGCCTGCAGGGGCTGATGGGAGCAGGTTCCTGATCCCTGCCATAGGGTGAATAATACACGCAAGACCACCATTTGAGCATCATTGCAAGGGGGTTGGGCTAGATAACCCCAGGGTTCCTCCCAGCTCTATAGTTCTATGATTCTAATGGTGATTTGAACCTGGGTTTCTCATGTCCAAACTCAGGATTGTAGCCACTGCATCCTATTGGTTCTGCTACCTGAAGCAACCAAATTTCTGGATTTCCTCCATGCTATGACAACGGTCAAAATGTGGTTGCCTCTGCAGGAGGTTCTTGGTGTGGGTGGATGTGCTGCATTTTGCATTTCTTGAGCTTAAACTACTTAGCTGTATGGATGCTGATTAAAGGAGGAGTTGGTAAAAGGGGAACTGGGAAGCTGCTGTGGTTGTAAGAAAAAATGAGAAATGCTAGCAAATAATTTGCTAGAAAGGCAAACTTGTGATTTCAAGGGGAGATTCCGGGATATTTGCCGCCAGAGACAGTTAAAAAACGATTGTGCTTTTGATTATTATTTTTTGGGGGGGTGTTAATTGTTGTTTTCTACTGTGTGTGTTTGTATGTAACGTGGTAAGTGATGACTCCTCTTTCTATAAAGGAAGGATAGGGTTAAAATATTCTCTCCCGCTGAAAGCCACTTAATAGTTCATGTGATCAAGTATTGCTGATTTGGTTGTTTTACAGACTGCATTGGCTCTTGGGCACTTCCCTGCCTTCCATTCTGTGCTGTGGGTTCTTGGGCTCATAATGCCATCTCTTGAGCTGTAACCAAACTGCTGTGATAAATTCTGAATTACAGGAATGTTGTGATGAAGCTGTTGCCAATCTGCTGTGATGAATATGGTTATAATCATAACCATCTTCTCTGTCTTGTTCCTGGGGATTAGCTATGTTTGCCATTTTGTCTCAAAACGCTGAACATTCCTACCGCTAAAAATGGTTAGCTCACAAATGTGTGCATTGTGGTCTTTGTGCGGTTCCACATGGCCTCTGCACCAGTCCAACTATACTCATTTTCTCCCATTAAACCCAACATCTTATCACCAGTCTGCTTTAAAACATCTACAGCTTGTTGATTTCTGTCCGTCTCGGCCTTGAAAGTCATCTTCTTTTCCAAGGACTCTCCCTATCTTCGGTTTTGAGGTTCTCGTTCATAAATACGCGCTCTGTGTGTCAGCATGAAAGGAACCTAAACATTTCTTTTTATCAAGAGTTTGTAAATCCCCCATAGTTACTCAGCAGCTGTTAAGCATTCATGAGTTGAAGGCTTAGACTTGTAATCTGTAGCTTTTTAGCCTTCTTGTGCTTGTCATGTGTAGAAGGCCTTCTCAAAAACTCAGATGCATGCTAACCATACAAGGTGATTGAGTTTACTCAGGCCAATATATCAATAGATGTAATAAAAAAAACTAAAGAATGCTGTGTTGGTCTGTTAAAAAACAGTCGTAGCCCAAAATCCATGGTCGAGCAAAACCTATATTAGTGCCAACCAAAATGTCACAAAATAGCGAGAAAGCTTTTGAGTTCTCCAGAACTTCAGTAGGCTCAAAGCGAACCACCAATTTTGCATTTAGTTCTTAAGAACTAAAGATATGGTGTTCATCTACTGCTTTGGCTCTTCATGAGAGATAGAGGAGAAATGGAACAGCCATTCATTGGCAGCAAAGGGGCAACAGTTTTAAAATGATTGCCCTGAGCAAACGCTGAAGGAATCTTGTTTTCACAGCTTTAAAGCTTTTAACAATATGTCAAGATCTACTCAACAGAAGGATGGGGTTCTCTGTGCCCCCTCCTAAATAGATACCCCATATGGGGTACTGAATACCGTCATGCCCTGCCCTGCTCTCAGGTCAGGCATGGAGGAATCATATACAGTGGTACCTCGGGTTACAAACACTTCGGGTTACAAACTCCGCTAACCCAGAAGTAGTACCTCGGGTTGAGAACTTTGCCCCAGGATGAGAACAGAAATCGTGTGCCAGCGGCAGTGGGAGGCCCCATTAGCGAAAGCGCGCCTCAGGTTAAGAATGGTTTCGGGTTAAGAACAGACCTCCGGAACGAATTAAGTTCGTAACCCGAGGTACCACTGTACACAAGATAGATATCCTTTCCCTCATGTTAGATCAGGGTGAGTGCATTTTGCTAACAGGTAGATCTGTCTTTAATTTTTCTTACATTTTTAGGCTTTGTCCATCTAAGCACATGCCTTGTAAAATAAAATTGCCAACTCGCCAAAAGTAAAAACATGCAGTTCGTTTTTTCTTAGTTGGAAAACAAAATGTGGAGATCCTTGTTGTTGTATGCACCAAATCTTGTGCAGATACAAGTTTCGGTGTCTGCATGCTGGCTTTGTTTAGCTGTCAGCTGTACCCAAACAGTTAATCACATGGAAGAGATGCTCAGGGGTGCTATGCCAGGCACTGCCATGCTACTGTTGGGCATGTGAGTTGGGCTAAAGTGTTTTGCACCAAGGTTGGCTGTAACACTATTGATTTGACTTGGAGGTCCAAGAATAATAGCTCATAAATTGGTGAAAAACACACATCCAATCATGCCTTCTGATGTTATCCTTGACCAGGAATGTGTTGGACCCTGACTCAAAACAAATTTATGCGTGGGTGGCGGTGAGGTGAAACTTTTTGTCTGTGTGATGATTCCTGGTGCTTTTGATTGCTGAGGAACTTCAATGTTTCTCTTGTTTTCTCTTGCAGACAGCCAATCGGATCTGGAGAATGCAAGCGTGGGAAGTGAAGCGTTAGACTTGACCTCTGGTGAAAGAGACCACCTAGAGGAGGCCGCTGAGCTTCCAGACCCTGAGCGCAGTCCCAAAGAGGAGGAGAAGATGGACACATCTCAAGGGGAAGAAGATGCACAAGAGAAACTCAGCGAGGACGAAGAGGGGCCAGAAGAAGACTCCGCCAGTAACAGGAGCCTTGACCTCAATTTTGCTAGCAAGCTCATGGACTTCAAGCTGGCTGAGAGCGACCAGAGCACTGGTAGCGGCATTCAGGCAGAAAAGAAGCACACCTGTGACATTTGCGGGAAGTCCTTCAAGTTCGCGGGCACTCTCAGCCGGCACAAAAAGGCTCACGAGCGTGACGACAGGAAGGACGAAAAGAGCAGCGAGGACGAAAGCAAGAGCGTCCAAGGCGGAGGCCAAGTTCCTATGGCTCAGGAGGAGTCTTCTCCTGAGCAGGAAGAGCCCACAGGAGACCTAAAGGCAGCAGAGTCTCCCATGGACGGCGAGGCCACGGGGAAGGAGAACGAGGAAAGCGAGAGCATCTCCGAGGGGGAGAGCACGGAGCGGAAGTCTTCGGAGAAGAGCGACGACGACAGGAAGCCAAAAGCGAACGGCGGGACTAAGAGCGAGTCAAAGGCAGACAAGAGGAAGAAAGTTTGCACAGTGTGCAACAAGCGATTTTGGTCTCTGCAAGACTTGACGAGGCACATGAGGTCCCATACAGGTAAGAGGGCATTCTTCACAACAGTATGACTGTGAGGAAAGGCTGTAGCCCGGCATCCGAGTACTGTGTGGAGCAGCTCCTAGGTTCGTTCCCAGCATCTCCCCTGTCTGAAAACTTAGAGAGCTGCCACCAGTTTAGACAATCCTCAACCAGGAAGGCCACTGGTTTGACTTGCCTATTTCTGTAGGCAAGCAATAGGCAGAGGAGGGAAAACAGCCTTGCATCTCCCACTTTGTATATATGGCTAGAGTGCTTCCTGTGTTTCTTTTCAAAGAGGTATTCTTGTGCTCTCTTCAACCCTTATAATATCCAGAATCCTTTAGCTGCAGCATGTTACCCACTTTTAATTTTTTGCTGTAGTTTTTTAAAAACTGTTTTTCCCTGGCCTTCCTTTTTTAAAAAAACGAAAAAATAAAATAAACTACCCAGTCTCCGTATAGCAAAGCGCAACCATCAGGAAATAGAACTCAGTTCATTCTCCCTGTGCATTACTTTATTTGCTCTTCGGTTGAAGGTTGAAAAGGAAGTGCTGATTCATGAGCTGTTGGGCTGTTTTTCGTGTTCCTAGGGCTGTATTATGCCAATTGGAAAATAAGTGAAAATTTGGTGTGTGTGTTTTTCCCTGAAAGAGAAGGAAGCCTGTTTACACTGCAGAGGGAAAGTGCTTTGTCACTACTGCTGGATGCGTTTCACGAAATTTCTGCAGAAAGCACACTAGCTTAAACGTGAAGAATGAACACCTCGTAAATCGCTCAAGTTGCATGCAGCATGTCAAACTATTTTGGCCTAATTCTTGCTAAGAGCATCTCTCTAGCCATCTATTTGCAAAGTCAAAGCCCCCTTGGAAATAATCTTTTTGGGGCATTTAACTATGCTTGTAGAGAGACTAACAATAATAATAATATAATAATAGTTTTTTATTATTTATACCCCGCCCATCTGGCTGAGTTTCCCCAGCCACTCTGGGTGGCTTCCAACTGAATATTAAAAACAATACAGCATCAGACATTAAAAACTTCCCTAAACAGGGCTGCCTTCAGTTGTCTTTTAAAAGTAAAATAGTTGTTTATTGCCTTGACGTCTGCTGGGAGGGCGTTCCACAGGGCAGGCGCCACCACCGAGAAGGCCCTCTGCCTGGTTCCCTGTAACCTCACTTCTCGCAGCAAGGGAATTGCCAGAAGGCCCTTGGCGCTGGATCTCAGTGTCCAGGCTGGATGATGGGGGTGGAGACGTTCCTTCAGGTATACTGGACCGAGGCCGTTTAGGGCTTTAAAGGTCAGCACCAACACTTTGAGTTGTGCTCGGAAATGTACTGGGAGCTAATGAAGTATGAAAATAAAGTGCAGACACACAGATCTTCACAAAAGTAACTGGTTTTGCCAGGTTTTACTCCGAAGAGTCAGGGGTTAAGCAAGCAAATGAAAACATGGAGTACATTCAGACTATGGTCCATAGAGTTTCTTGTTTTGCTGTAAAAGCTCTTGCTTTTAGTATGCTGTGAGTGGTTAGATGGGGAACCTGCTTCCCTCCAGATGATGGGTTCCCAACTCCCATCAGTGCAAGTTTAAAGGCTCAAAGGTCAGGGATGATGGGAGTTGCCGTCAACAACAACTGGAGAACCACAGGCTCCCCATCCCTGATCTCATTGAAATCCGGTGTCCCTTTTCCTTGACAATAAACATGATCAGTTGTTATTGAAACCAACATGAGTTTCCATCCTGGCAGAATCACCTCTTCCATGGTGGGAAATCAAAGGTCACGATATCGCTGGTGTTTTCATGGTCTTGACAGATTAAAAATGCAGGGTTGCCGTTTATGAGGGGAAATATTCTAAGAAACCTAAATTTGCATTGCTATATGGCACAATCTCCTGCCAACCTAGCAGTTCGAAAGCACGTCAAAGTGCAAGTAGATAAATAGGTAGCGCTCCAGCGGGAAGGTAAACGGCGTTTCCGTGCGCTGCTCTGGTTCGCCAGAGGTGGCGTAGTCATGTTGGCCACATGACCCAGAAGCTGTATGCCGGCTCCCTCGGCCAGTAAAGCGAGATGAGTGCCGCAACCCTAGAGTCAGTCAGGACTGGACCTAATGGTCAGGGGTCCTTTTTACCTTTACCTTTATGGCACAATAACTTGCCTTCTGCCAGCTGCTGCTAAATAGATTTGTGTTACGTGGCAGACTGCATTCCAAACCTGGAAGAAAGGAAGGAAGGAGTAAGTAAGTTTATAAACCTTTCTGTCTTGATTTTATCCTAGGGGAGCGACCTTACAAATGTCAAACCTGCGAACGGACCTTTACTCTGAAGCACAGCTTGGTTCGCCACCAGCGTATCCATCAGAAAGTAAAAAGTGCTAAGAACCACGAGAAGGAGAGTGACCGAGAGGACGGCCATTCTCGGGGCGAAGAAGAAAGCGAAAACGAGTCTCTCCACAGCAGCACCAACCCCATCTCAGAAAACGAGTGCGACTCGCTTGCGGGGCTCGGGAGCCATTCCCCAGTCACCAGGAGCCGCAAGGAAAGCCTTGTCAACGCCGCAAAGGAGGCCGTTTGCAAAGAAGACAAACCCACCCCTGGGAATCGGACGGCAGGCTCCTGTCCTGCAGAGTCCAGCAAGAACGCCCAGAAGCAAACAGAATCCCGAGGGAAAGGTGATCGCGGGAGCCCGTCTGGCTTCATCCAGGACTTGCTGGAGATTCACAACAAAAAATCTTCCATGAGTCACATCCTCGCCTCTGCAGAGAGCGCACCTCAGCTCTTGGGAGTCGAATGACGGCTGCAGAATCATCAGCCGCACCCCCAGCGAACTGACCCAGTGTACACGGAATAAAGTTGACAATGCAAGCTTTTTTTTCTTTTTCTTTTTTGAGATGCTGAATTGGCCTGCTGTCAGTTATGCAGGAATGAGCTTGAGGGCTGGGGAATTGGTGGGAGTGGGAAGATGGCAGTCTGGATTCAGTGCCATAAGTCTTTCAGTATAAAAAAAATGCAAAAGACTACAGTTATATACTGATTTGAGTGCCTTACTACTTTATTAGGTCTTTTGGTATCATAGGGTTTTTTTTAAAAAAAAACACATACAAACAAAAAGATGATTTAAAAAATATTAATGAAAATTATTTGGAGAGGACCTTTTTCATTTGAGCATTAATGTTACCTTTTGTATTGGGGTGTGTGAGCTTGTTACTGTATATCTGTGATAGCCGCTTTTGTGTGTTCTCTGAGCTGGAAACAAGGAGTCACTGGGGCAAGGAAGCCCTTGGAAACTTGCAGCCGATAACTGGAAGAAGATTTTGAGAAACCCCCAACGGAGGAACTAGAAATAAGGTGTTGATTTTGTTTTCCTATTCTTGATTTGCTACTTTTCTTTTTTGTACTTGCCACACGGGGGGCGGGGGGGGGGGAGAGAGTCAAAACCAGTTCCAGGTGTAAACATGGTTGATTAAACTTGGTCCAAGCCAAAAACCAGGAAAAGCAAAATGTTCCACCTCACTGACTTCTGCTTCTCTGCCTCTCCCCTTCCGCATTCGCGATGATGATGTCCTAGCTACTGTCCTTTTGTAAAAGGCTCTTTCTGGCCCTTGTGGACTTAAAGACTCTACAGAAAGAGTTGCATAGCGACTTTAAAAAAACAAACAAAAACCTATGGAAATTATGCACCCACTTGTTATATATATATGTTTGATTTGTGCTTCAATATATTATTGTTATTTTAATATTTTATAAAAAAAAATTTTTTTTGTCAGTTTGCTAATCTCTGCGTTCAGCAGAAACCAATGGGCAATATTTGCCCACGGAAATCTACAACGCAGTTTGGATTGCCTGCTTAAATGTTTGTGATCTAATCTCTCCCCGACTCTCCCCGTCGGGATTGCAACTCTTCTACTGTATTTACACGGAGTCCTCTGATCTAGAGAATCAAGTGTAGGCCAACTCAAGCCCCGTTCACACAACCAGAACAGATAAACTGAACGAGTGTTGCAGGGAGGGAGAGAGTGGGATTGTAAGGGGGGGGGGCACCACTTGTGCCCTACGCGCATACACATTGTACATGTGTGTGTATGCGTCATTTTATTTTTCAATTGCAGGATCCCTGGTTGTATGGACAAGTCCACATGCACCCAGGTGGCATGACTGTAGGGTTGTTCACATGGTCATCTGAGCACTGCTGCCATCCCACTCCCTCCTTCCCGCTGTGTATTCACTTTATCCAAGTTGGTTGCATTGACAAGGCCTAAGCCGTTCTTGAAGTTGCACGGGGCGTGGGCAGGGGGCATTTCATGGGTGAACAGTTCATTGCGAGTTAGTGAAAAGGAGAAGGATTGATGGAATTAGCAGCAGGCTGGCGTGGAGAGAAATGCGAGGGGCAAGGAGGTCCTCCAAATTGCATGAGGAAGGCACTGCAGGATTCTGTGAAGTTGACGTTGTTCGAAACTGCAATAGTTGCGTTATCAATTTTTTTTTACGTTAATGAGCACGATGATTCAGTCTTCCAGATTAAATGTAGAAAAGAAAATTGCAAGCCTTAAATGATGCCGCTACCTTACTGTGCTTTAAAGCAAAATAAAGAAAATACTACCGGCGATAAAACTAGGGATTGACAAAATAAATTTCCTTCCCAAATTTTCCATGAAGTTGGGAGCCAGGATTAGACTGCATATCCTGTTGCTGGCAGCAGGAGCCATTGCAAGTCAACCACATTAGGACTGTGACCCGCAGACCAGTTAAGCTGGCATGCTGGGATGTAAGCTTTATTTTCACCCTGAACCTATTTATTTAGAGGGAGAAAAACAGTCCATTAGTTTGAACTTCCTTCTCTTGAATCACATGATCAAGATTACCTGTGTTGTTACATTCCTTCATTTGCATTTAAAGATACAGACACAGAGTTGGATTTAAATTGTGCCTCTCGGTCACGTTGCTGCCATCAGGCTCTGCAGAATGGCTCTCACAAATACATTTCATGAGTTTTCCGAGGTCTGTGTGTCATGCTCTCTATTCGACCTTTCCAGCTTGATGGAAGCACACATCTTTGGATGGTTTCACCAATTCTGTAGCTTCCTTTTTTAAAATGTTGGGAAGTAACATGGGGCTCGTCCCTCAGTTCCATTGGCTGTGAGTCCAATTCTCACACATTGACTTCCCATCTCTCCTGTAAGAATGGAGCCTTTGGAAGCAGGCAATGGAACTGTAGGTGTGCGAACCTTCAGAACTGAAAACAGAACAGAACCAACTTCTGTAGGATGGGCTCTGCTGGGTTTTACCTGTAGTCTGCAGCAGGCTGTTCACCAGATTATACCCAAGTATTCTTGTTCAGATTCACTTGTGGGTCAAGCATAAGCATTCTGCCGCAGCAGCTGGGCATTGTGCAGAAAGCTCTGGATCAGGGTTTCCCAAATTTTGGTCTCTCCAGCTGCTGTTGGACTACAACTCCCATCATGCCTAGTTAGCAGGACCGGTGGTCAAGGATGATGGGAATTGTAGTCCAAAAACAGCTAGAGTCCCAAGTTTGGGAAACGATGTTCTGGATGGTATCCAACTAAGTCGCACTCAAATGAGACCCGCTGAAATCGGTGGACTTCAGTTAGGCATAGTTAACTTCAGTCCCACTAATTTCAGTGCGTCAAGAGTAGAATTAGTTGGGTACCAGACTTGCCCCTTAGTCTTCTGGGGTAAGAGGAAAGTGAAGTGTTTCTGGAGCCCCTGCTGTTTTCCTTCCCTGGGCCTCTTTTTCTTCTTTTTCTTCACACTGCTAACCTCTTCTGCCCTCAGTGAGGCTCCGTACCTCAAGTGATCTTGCACAGCCGCACCCCGGTATTCAGTTTGGCAATTGGAAGGACAAAACCCGACACCGATTATCTTTTTAATGTCTGCTGCTTCTTAGCACTTCGAATCAGGCTGCACAGGAAGAGGGTAGAAATCATTCTGAGCTGAAAATAGTAAATATATAATAAGAAGCAAGGGGAAAGGTGTTGAGGTATAGATAAGGTTTTGTTGTCATTGAGGATTTTTTTTTTAAAAAAAAGTGTTTTGAAACCATTCCTCCAGATTAGTAGAAAATCAGTACCAATGATTCTTTTTACAAAATCCCTCTGTTAAATGAGTCTTTTCATCAAAGCCAATTTAATGAATCCCTTAATTTTTAATTGCTATTATATTATTATTATTATATTATAATTATTATTTGGGGGTATTTTTGTTCTTGGGCTGGTTTTTTTAAATATATATATATATATAAATTTGCAGCTCTCCACATTAAACTGCGCAATACTGTGGGGGAGAAGCCATTAACTAAACCAGGACTGTCAAAAACTGCTCCCATCCCACCCCAGACTGTGTGGGTCATTCCACGGACATGCCAAGTCTCCTCGCAGGCCAATTCACATGGTTTCTGTCTTTTGGGGGTGGGCGGGCGCAGGTTTGACAGACGTGAACTAAACTCTATGCTGCAGGAATAATGTGGCAAATATTTTCCCAGCACCTTGCCGGGACATCTGCTAGCAATAATCACTATTGATTTAAAGCTTTATTTAGCCTTTATCTATATCCTAGTAGATTATAAAATCTTGCCACATTTTATTGATGTTTTTATTAGTCGCGTTTGATGGAGGAAGAAAACCCCTCTGTTCTTGTTTCCCTCCCCCTGTTGTTGATTTGCCCCCCTCCATCCTCCTCACATTCACCCCCCCCATATTAAACTGTGAAATTTATAACGTGTTTAAACTATGGGTGAATCTTAGGCTTAGTTTTGCATGTTCAGCTAATTCGTCTCTACATCTTCCTTTTTTGTTTTTTTGATTCCCTCCCCACCTCCTCTTCTCTCAGGGCTTTTTAAAACAACATGTCCCCCCCTCCACCCCTTTCTGAAATTCTCTTGTTGGATTTGCAATGGAGCAAATACTGAAAATTCAAATCACTACAATAAGCACCTGACTGTGAAAGCAATACATACGGAAGAACAGAAACAAGGTTTAAAAGAGGCAGTTGACGTTTGCAGCTGTAATGGCATAGCTCAAGATCCTTTGGATGGCAGCCTCCACCTGCCCCAGCCAGCCTGACCAATGGTCAGGGCTGGTGGAAATTCTAGTCCAAAACCTCTGGAGGGCACCAGATTAGGGAAGGCTGACATAGTTCATCTGGAGCTAGCTCTTCTGCTGATTTAATTCCAGCTTCCCAATGATTTATAGAGTCTTTTATCTTCTAGCACCCAAACCCCCAATTCTCCCATCACCTTAGAGCAGACACTGGAGTTGCCGCCCTTTCCCACGATGAGTCTCTTGTGTTGCTACCCCCTGTGTTGGTTGGATCATGAAACTGTGGTGAGATGATTTGTGAGGACAGAGCAGGACACTTGGAGTAGATCCACTAGTGCAGGCATGGGGAACCTGCAGCCCTCCCAGGTGCGTTTGGGCTGCATCTCCCATTCTCCCTGACAGTTGGCCATGCTGAGTGGTGCTGATGTGAGCTGGAATCCAGGAAGATTTTGAGGGGGCGCCAGGTTTGTCATCCTTGTTCTAGCCCCTCGAAGCAATTAAGGGAAAAGGTCCTGGAAAAGAAATAAGGTGTATACACTGAGGTGTTGTGGTAAATCCTTGCCTTGTTTCTTTTAGCCCCAGGTAACGTCATAATAGTTTTGAGGAGCCAATGTATCCATTGCAGGTTCTCCCCCTTGCACTGTCCCTGGGCTGTTTGAGTCAAGTTTCGCTAGAGATAAGAGGATGGGGCGTGGGCTGTCTTTTCTGTCCCTCCCCCCTTGTCCCCTCGAGAAGGAAGTTCAATCGTTAAACTTTCAGCCTGTGCAAGGAAACAAAAATTAGTGTGTAGAATCCACATGCAGATATATATATATAATTTTTTTTCTAAAGGGAACTTCTTAAAAAAAACAACTGCTGCTACAAGTTATGTACAAGACTGGTTTATGCCACACGAACAGAGAATCACGCGTTTTGTTTGGTTGTTTCTATTCCTCTTCTCATTCAGTTGTACATTACTTCCAAATTCAACATGATGAAAGTAATTGCTGTTCTGTATCAAACAATCTTCGCAATAAAATGTTATATTTAAAAAAACAACAACAACCTTGGAGGTCGCAAAATATGCATTAATTCTTTTTTGGGGTGGGGTGGGGTGTTGTATGTGATTTTATTTTAATCCAGTGTGTTGCAAGTGACATTTTTAAATGAACCATGTGCTGAGGGATAGTTCACATTTCTTTCTGTTCTGCTAACTGCAGCTAAGTAAATTTTCTCCCAAACATAAGTACCGTATGTGTGTTTCACTACTAATTTCCAGTGAAGCTGCAGTGTTAGTCTGTTGCATCAAAATCAACAACAGTGTGCTGTGTGGCACCTTTAAAGGCTAGCAACTTTTGTAATGGTGTAAACTTCAATGGGCTAGAGTACATCTAATGAAGTAGACTTTAGCCCATGAAAGGATTATACCGTTATAAAAAAAATGTTGCCAAAACACTATGTATTGGGTTGACAGAGCAGACGACACAGAGATTTCTCCAAGTGGATCTTTATATTAAGCTGGAACTGAACTGAATTAAACAGCTCAGCCGGCCTGCTTTTACAGTGGTACCTCAGGTTAAGTACTTAATTCGTTCTGGAGGTCTGTTCTTAACCTGAAACTGTTCTTAACCTGAAGCACCACTTTAGCTAATGGGGCCTGCTGCGCCGCTGCCGCATGATTTCTGTTCTCATCCTGAAGCAAAGTTCTTAACCTGAAGCGTATGTAACCTGAGGTACCACTGTATAGGCAGCCGGCTCTCCACATTGTAACAACACCCCAGGGTTTCCCGCCTAAATTAACTGAGGTGGACCTGAGTGAAAACTATATACACAATACCCCTGGTGGCCAGGGTGAGAATTACAATACATAACACTATGTTTATTAGTAGTGATTTAAATTGGTCGTGCTTGCTGTTTCACCTGTTGATTTATTTGATCATTTATTTAGTTGAACGTATTAGCTTGCTAGGCCATTGGAATAGATAGTATCCTAATTACTTTCCCTCATTCCTCCCTTTAATTTATACCACCAAAATCCAACTTAGAGGAACAGTGCCTTTGCCTGACTAATAATCAATAAAAAATAATAGCGAAAGCGAAAGGATTCTTAGTTCTTAAATGGGAGGAATTGCTCTTGGTCATATCTCTCTTTTACCACTGGGAGGCACACTTATAAGGACAAGCAACCCTGGAAGAATATCGGGCTTCTTTTAAATTCTCTCACACGCTGACACTTCCTTGTAAAAACTGGCCACGGACACTCATAACCCCCCTGGAGGCAATTAACTTCGACACACACAATAGAGCAATAGCGGCCAAGTTTCCATGTGCAGAAGGATTTGAAAATAAGAACAGGCAGTCCTAGCAGCATTAATGTTTGATTTGTGGTGTCTTTTTAATAATTTCTTCTTATTGGGAACTGCCTTGAGTGGGATTTTTCAAAAAGTATTTTAAATAAGCTGCCCATTTTGCAATGTGTGTAGATGTAGTTAGGGCAGAGGAGGAGGTGGATAGCAAAGCTTTTGAGATGCCTAAGGCCCTCAATTTTGCAATTGATGTGGAGACCGTGGAACTTGGCCCAGGGAGAGCCTGTTTCTCAAGGAAGTGAGCTGCCAACATCTTCCAAGTTTCAGGTGCTGAAAGAAGGTCTGAAGCCAGATTGAAATGGGGTAAAATTATTGGCTTTCTAAATTCTCCCCAGGCCATAACGCTCACCAGGCCTCCTCTGCACCAGACTAGAGTTTGTCCTTGAAATGTGGCAATGCTTCTTGCTTTCCTCTTTAGTTTTTTGGGGGGTTGGCAGGGGATAGGCAGTTTGTAGCATACTGTTGCTCCACCCACTAATGCCTCTTGCACCACACCACAGACATGCTTCCCATGGAAAGTTGACCCACAGACTGAAAACGTTTCCCTGCATCAGTTCTAAAGTTTTGCCAACATTGCGTAGGTTTGCATAGCTTGAGCTTTCGTCACCTTGATTTGTGCGGGAGGCTCTTCGAGCCTGCATCAAGTTTTAAATGTTGTTCCACACCAGCCTAATCTCCATGAGCAGTGTGAGATGCCAGGGGCACGTACCAGGGTCTGTGTTCCCTTGGGGGGCAATTAAGACACATTAGAGACTGTGGTGTCTTTATGAGATATGATTTATTTACACACACATGCAACCTGCACCTAGATGGAGGAGATGCAGAGCGTTCGGTTGGGTTCAGAGGCATCCTATGCACCATCTCCTGTCTCTGTCACAGCCTTCGCCAACTATCCACTGTGTTGGCTGCCCTGTGTAGAGTTCTGCCCACTTCCTCTTCCTTCCCAGCAGCACTTGCTGAAAACAGCAACTCCCTGTCTGCTTCCAACATCCCAACCTGGTCACCTCTTTCCCAAGCCCATTGCAGAAGACATTTCCCTCTGCTGTTCACATCAAATACTGCCCAAATTTGGAGACCCAAAACCGGGATGCACATCTTCTGGGACATACACTCTGTTAAGTCATGTGGCCCTCACTCTCTTCCCTGCGCCCCAAAAATTGGCCCTGAAGAAAACTGTTTTTCAGGGGGTGAGCCCAGTGAGAGATTGTGGCACCCAAAATGGCCGCCACAATGTCCCACTTTTTCTGGGACACTTGGCAGATATGACATCAGTAGCTCTTCCCCAAATGCTACTAGGCCAGAGGGTCTTCTGCTTTGCCCATGGCTTACCATTATCAAACAAACCAGGCCATTCTCAGCCTTTTGTTTCGTCAATGACCCAGTGAGCCATTGCCAGCCCGACCTCATGAGGCCACTATTATTTCCTAGGCCTTTGCTAAATTTATAAGTTTGTCCAAATTCTAACCTTTCACTGAATAGTGGTTATGTAGTGGTCGGCCCTTCACAACTCGTAACATCATGGTGCCTGTTGCTTATCGGAGGAATGGAATAATTTCTGATATTATTTCATGTCTATTCCAGCTTTCGTCCAACTTGCATACATGATTCTCTGCCTCCCCAGTTTTATTCTCATAATGGCCCTGTGAAGTAGGTTAGGCTGAGAAGCACTGACTGGCCCCAGGTCGCCCAGTGAACTGCATGGCTGAGGAAGGGCCAGATGCAAATATGAGTTTGAAGCATCTGTTGCAAGTTCTAATTCTATGGCTCTCAAGACTGTCGATCCTTAGTCCATTTTTTCAAGCAACTGAAATATCTCTGCCTTTGCTTTCGGGGCGTGTGGAGTGCTCAGATGCATAAACCAGGCACGGAGAGTGCATGTGTGTGGCTCCTGTGTGTGCAGCTTTGAAAAGCGGACCACCCAAAATTAAACGTGGGGTGTCGTCATATCTTTGCACGTCTTCCAAAGCCACTTCTGGTTCTTGTTTGAAACCTCTCCAGTTTCAGCCCCTGCACCCCTTCCAGGTTTCATAATGAGGGCTAGCGTGAGCTGCTAAATAACAGCTGACAGCCTGCCGTGGCACTCAGGATGCATAAAAGCTCGAAAAAGACCCAGGTGTGCAGTGGAAGCTTTGCATCAGAATTGCCAACAGATGCCAGCACGTCTCTTGCTGGCAATTTGAAAAACAACAACAGCAAAAAAATGCAAGTAAACAACATTTGGCCATCATTATTCTTGTTTAGTTTCTGGTACCTGATGACAAATGTGGGAACCCAGCCTTGGAAATTGAGCCGTAAAAGATAGTACCGCCCCCCCACACCCCCAAATCCGGCCAACTTGCCCACTGCCTTACTCATTGGTGGTTCAAAAGCAGTTTGAAGAGCAGGGAAGGAATGGCACAACACTCTCCCCATTTTAAGGAAGCTTTTCTGCATGGTCCCTTAGGGGGTGAGGTTGATTCTTGCTTGCCAGAGCTAACCAAGCAAGTGTTGTTTACAAGCCCATACAGCTTGGAAAGTGAACAGTTGTTGTTAATGCAGCTCCCCACCCACTGCATCCCAGCAGCGACAGTATTTGCTGACAGTCAGTACATTTACGAGTTGTTGGAAGGTATCTGTTTTTGTAAAACGGCACTGCAGATTCTATAAAGTTCGTCTGAGCCCCATTTGGGGGTCCCTGGGTCATCTGCGGTGAGGCAGGGCATGACTTGCTGTGTTGCCTTTGAAACTCTCCAGGGAAGGTCAACTGGGGGTGTCTCTGAAATCCTTTCAGTGTCACGTGAAGACTATTATTTTTATTTTGTTTATTATTATTATTATTAACCAGTCTGTTATTTGCATACATCATTATTGAATATTATCATCATTGCCCCCACTCTATTCTACATTTTACAAACACCTTGGGGAAGCTGTACACCTGAAAATTAAGATGTGGGTGCTTAAAATAAAACGAACAATTGGTTTAATTAGAATGCTTCCAGACAGGGACCACAGAACTGTATAGAGTGGGAAGGGACCCTAAGGGTCATTTAGTCCAACCCCCTGCAATGCAGGAATCCTGCTCACAGTCGAACCACCAACCTTCTGGGCAACAGCCAGACCCATTGTGCCATAGTAAGAATCAGTGTTGCATAGGTATACATGTTTTTCCCCCTGCAGGGTTCCCATTACATCATCATCAAAATGCCAGCCTATATATTTGTGTGTGTGTCTGTGTGTTGTACTAATAAACCCATTATACAGCCACTGTCACTCCTGATATGTGAGCTCATTCATGCACCCCCCCCTTTGTTGGATGGATTGGTGTGTGTGCGGTGATGTTTTGGTGCGCAGCCTCTGCCACAACCCCTCTCCTTCCATTTGCTCCTCACCCAAACACAACCAAACCATTTTATTTCTGGAAACCCAAATAGTAACGTGTGCCAGTTGCAGCATGCCTAAGGTGTACCATGGGATGAAAGGGTTCATACACACACACTGTAGTCACAATTGGGAATAATAATACAGTGGTACCTTGGGTTACAGAAGCTTCAGGTTACAGACTCTGCTAACCCAGAAATAGTACCTCAGGTTAAGAACTTTGCTTCAGTATGAGAACTGAAATCGCGCGGCGGCAGCGGGAGGCCCCATTAGCTAAAGTGGTACCTCAGGTTAAGAACAGTTTCAGGTAAAGAACGGACCTCCGGAACGAATTCAGTTCTT